GGCCAGTCAGTAGTTATATAGCTTAGATTCACCAGTCACTAGGCCAGTCACTGAGTCAGTAGTTATATAGCTATAGATTCACCAGTCACTAGGCCAGTCAGTAGTTATATAGCTTAGATTCACCAGTCACTAGGCCAGTCACTGAGTCAGTAGTTATATAGCTATAGATTCACCAGTCACTTGGCCAGTCAGTAGTTATATAGCTTAGATTCACCAGTCACTAGGCCAGTCACTGAGTCAGTAGTTATATAGCTATAGATTCACCAGTCACTAGGCCAGTCAGTAGTTATATAGCTATAGATTCACCAGTGTCTAGGCCAGTTTAGTATTATAGCCATCCAGTATGATTTTGTTATATCATCTGTTTCATTCTTTAGAATAGATACAAATGTGTAATATGATCTGTTACAATCCTTCAATGAAATAAAGGTACCTGTAGATTGGTTTATAGTCAAAAGCACTGGTAAATATGAAAAAGATACTGGGATGGATAGAAAGGCAAAAACATTAGACTTTGTGTAGATATAGCTAGGTGTTTAAGTATTGGGTCTGGATGGACCAGATTATTCTAGCTAACTTACATTGACAAAGCTTATATGGTATTACATGTACCCTGTACATGTATACAAACCATTGTACAGCTGATAGGACAGACTGACAAATATTGTACAGCAGACAAGATAGACTGTCAAACCATTATACAGCAGACAAGATAGACTGTCAAACCATTGTACAGCAGACAAGATAGACAGCTGTCAAACCATTGTACAGCAGACAAAATAGACAGCTGTCAAACCATTGTACAGTAGACAGGATAGACTGTCAAACCATTGTACAGCAGACAGGATAGACTGTCAAACCATTGTACAGCAGACAAGATAGACAGCTGTCAAACCATTGTACAGCAGACAAAATAGACAGCTGTCAAACCATTGTACAGCAGACGAAATAGACAGCTGTCAAACCATTGTACAGTAGACAGGATAGACTGTCAAACCATTGTACAGCAGACAGGATAGACTGTCAAACCATTGTACAGCAAAAATAGTCACTGAGATCGAGACAGACACTGAAAGCATAATACAGCAGAACACATGTATATATACATATGTACATGTATATGAAACTAATAATAGTTACAGGAAAATTATGTTCTACTTGCACCTTCTGTTAAAGGTATGCAACTTACATTATAAATGTTGATATTTTCTCATTTGCGATAAACCTCTTCATTATGCTTATAATGAGCACTGTATCTGATTACCAGGCTATTCGAGGGTTTAGCTGTGTGAATGACCTCCACAACAAAGTACCGGGAGTAGGGGCATCAACAGTTGACCAGAACCGGGCACTTCTTGTCTGTGAAGTGACGACACCCAGATCAAGGAGAACCAGCAGGTTTGTATATCCTCTGAATGCTTTGGTACCATATCAAATGTCAATTATGGGATCTACTGTATACAATAGATTGTGTTGAAACTTCTTAAAAAAGATTTACAATTATGATGTTCAAGAGTTCATTTTCTTTCTTAAGAAAACCCTTGGTTCAAAGGCTCAGAAAACTTAGCTATTCTGAATGTGATTTTATTTAAGAAAGTGTCCAGACTTATTAAGATCCATTTCAGGCATATGAATTATTAGCTAACTGATATTTTGATTTCAGAGGTGGCAGGAGGACGCGTCATGACTCATCTACAGCAGCAGGGCCAGAGGTGGTGACTCCTTCCCCAAAACCATCCTCCAGTGGAGTGACTCCACGTCTGGGGTCTCGCCAGGGCCTTAGACAGCGGTCCCGGGGAAGCCTTGTCCTGCCTGAAGTAGCCACCACAAGTACTGCTGCTGACAGTGTGGCAAGCCTCACTCCCAGGTAAAAAATACTAAGTACTGCTGCTGATAGTTTGTTCACTATCATGGAAATAAAGAAATTCTGCAATGAATCATCTATGTATGTGATTATGGAGGAAATAGGAATCCACTTATTCTATCTATTCTTAAGTCACAGTCTAAAGATCTGCAAATAAACAATTTCTGTTTTATTTAGGCATGACGACACAAGTCGCAGTGCTGTATTGGACTCGCTCAGTGACAGCCACATGAGTGATGATGGAGGTTCTGGGGAAGAAGAAGGTGGCTCTGATGATGAGGATGCTGCTGAGGATGATGATGATGATGAAGAGGAAGAGGAGGAGGCCTGGTTTGGTGATACATTATCAGACGATGAGACATCCCAGGAAAACACCACATCATTCCCATTTCTCTCCGCCTCGTTACCTGTGTCCCTGGCAGGGTCATCCTCCACAAACTCCGCCCCTGGGCCGTACCGCTCGCGTATACCTATCCCTATCTCAGGATCCTACGGCAAACACATTGTAAGTGATCAGACTCCTCAACTTTGCCTCTTTATGGTCAATGTAATTTCTAGCAAGTGTCCATGGCCATCTGCATCTAGATATCGATGGTTTTAAAGAGGCAGCTTATTCATGATTTAGAATATAAGTAGTTCAATTTAGCTATTGATATTCATATTCTGTTTCAAGTTACAACAGGTGTATACCATGCAGATGTTCTGGTTCAGTGATTCAGGTAATAACATGTAATGCAAGATGACATATTTTGATGAACTATCAGATTTACCTTGGTACATAGTGCCCCCAGGTCCGGTTTAATGAATTAGGTTTGAGTTAGTGATTTGCACCTGGTTATGTTGCAGATGAAGCGCAAGTGCAGTAGCAGTAGAGACGAATTAGTTCAAGGGAAACGTATGCGGACAACGGACGATGTCAGGTAGAACACTGTAACAGATAGTGAAAGCCTCATTAGGCCCTGAATCCTATACTCTATACACTGGTTAATTCCATTGTTGTAGCCTGTTATTTCATCATATAATACTGTATATGTAATACAAGTGTGATAAAGAGCAATCTTTCAAATAGATTTACCTGAACTCAGTACAAGTCACCACAAAAAAAGAGAGAACTTGATTACTATAATGATAGTTCTGTGGTTGTAATAAGGGAAACAGACTTGGGACAATACTTTGATCTTAAGTCTAACCTTGATACAAATCCTTGGATATCTTAAGGATGTACACCTCTGAGAAGTCAAAAATTTCCTGTATTTAACTTTTTTTCTTATATTGATTTTTGGAAAAAGGAGATAATGGCATAGTAGAAAATGCAAAAGAAACTATATGTCGGTGTGTTCGTTTTTGTGCTATGATCGGTCAAAGATGCCGATTTAACACAATATGTGATTTTAGGTGAATTTTCGGGTTTTGACCATTTGCAGAACAAATTCATACAATTTCTTCCAAGTGTGTTATCAGATATGTATGAATGTTTGTAGAATTGATCAAAATATTATTTTCTTTGAAACTATGAAAGTAAAATTTCTTAATCCTATTCATTTTACTTAGAAATGCGATTTTAGTTACCACTTCCCCTTATCTTTTAATGAAAAAATGCACATTTTTCACCATTTTTTGCAGATTAAACGCTTGATATAAAAAAATCCTGTATTAAACTTTTTTTAGTATTCAATGAATCAAAAGAAAATGTGTTTCTCTTTCTAAAACAGCCACAAAAAAGGGGGGTCGGTGTGCTTCTTTTTTTGTCCCATTATTATTTGTGTTATTTTTCACCTTTTTCGGGGTCAAAAATCAAAAGTGCTTCAGTTACCTTAATATGTAAAAAAATATATCAATAATAAATAACTTTCCCCTTTTTGCATATTATTTTGATCATATTGAACATTATAAAGTTGTACAGCAAAATTGAACCTGCTACAATTAAAAATGGTGACACAATGACAATTTAAGTGATCAATCTAGTGTCAAAAAAGGTGAAATTTTGACGCTTTGTGGAGCGCAAGAAGTTCACATAAATACACTTTTTCAAAATGGCCGCCAAATTGGTCATGTTTTTTGAAATTCTTGTAAAAAATGATCTACACACAACAGACATCTATTTTTTTTCCTGTTTTTTCAGATGTCTGTTTGCTATTATACCTATCATAATTTGTTAAATATTACAAAAACCCGTTACACCAGATCAAAACGAGACTTGAACGTGACTGAAACCTCAGAAGAGTCCATCCTTAAATGCCTTGTTTATCTTGATTAAGTTTATTAGGTTTGTTCATCAGATTATATGTGTCCACTTTATTAATTATCCCATTTATATATCAATGTTAATCAACAAGCCTGTATTTTCAGGGAACTTAGCTGATATTCTCCTGCATACTTGTAAATATAGAATTTGTTTTGTCTAGTGCGTTCTCTGTACTGATGATGAAGACCGTTCGTCACCAGTACAAAAGCGGTCATCGACCACGTATCCCATCCAAGGAACATCCACCTGCCAGACTGGCAGAATGGCTTCAGATCTTTCAGGTTTGTTAAAAATGATAAATATATATCAGTATAAGAAATGTATGATTTTTACACTTGCATATGAATGCTAATAAATTCAAAAAAATGAAGGGATCATATTTAACAGCACTTTTTTTCTCAACAATTAATGAAAAATGTTTTAGATAGTATTTATTTCAATGTTAATTCTTCCAGAATCATTTGTGTATTTTACTTTATACATGTCAAGTGAGAAGTGTAATCGGTGCAATTTTGTTTTAATTTTCTTCATGATTTAATACTTCATTGCCCAAGACTATAAGGAAGTATCAAGGTGGAGGTCCTGAATTTATCCCTATGATCAGTATTGTGTCCGAGTCGAAGTTTGACTTTCTGTTTGACTATTTTGGTGATATTAGTATAATGTTTTTGTTTAACAGACATGGAGCAATGCAGAGCGTATGATGGCTCTTGATGAACTTATAACCATTTGTGAACCGACTCAAGTTAGACATATGATGCAAGTCATTGAGCCCCAGTTCCAAAGAGATTTCATTTCCCTGCTGCCAAAAGAGGTACAGTTCACCATTCAAAACATTGGAACCAATCGTGTAAAAAGATAATTTAGATAGAAGTACTTGTGCAAAGTATAAGATAAATGTATGGTGTCATAGGCTGTTCTACCCACACACAAACAGACATGTATTAAATAGTTTACTCACAAGTTTGAAATTGTGTGATATCTAATTCTGTGTTAAAGTTCTTAACACAATTAATGATCTAAATGGATAGATCTTGTGCATAATGTATGTGTCTACAGAAGGTGGCGTAGTGCTGGGATTACAGCCTAAGTGATCATGATATACCTGTAACCTTATAACTCGGGGTAAAACTGATATACTACAAATACACACAGGTTTTGTCATCCAATTCATTCAAAAAATCAATGTGGCTTTACTAGCAAAATAACCTGGTCTATATCAAACGGTATTTGACAGCTGGTTTTCTATTCCGCAATAAAAAGCTGTCACATCAGTGAAAGGCCTAAGTATTCTGTTACAGTATCAAAAGTCAATAAGGACCAGATCTAGAGTGGTGTTGTAATTTGACACCTTGAAGATTTTAATTATTTTGAGGATACTTACACAATATGTCACTGAGTACAACATTGATCCATATCAGGTTTCAGTCGACCCCACAAACTTGCTCTTTATTGCCAGTTGATAAAACAGCAATTTATTTGACAAACTTCATTCAAGAATCTTATCTTACATGAAATTGTGGCTAAATTTTGCATATTTGTGCCACAAGCTATTTTGCTTTTTTCACAGCGAATGGTGTTGTAACACATATTATATATATACATGCTTTCATCCCTGAGAAATATTGTTGGATAAATATTACACTTTATTACAAGTTTTACTGATCGGTGAAATAACTTTTTAAGTACACATGTTACAAATGTGTTTTACTATTGTATATGTCTATCACAGTATGCTGGTAGGTAAAGATACCAATTCTGATGTCATTTATCGTATGTCATTTATCGTATGTTTTATGAATCGGATTATACTAAATATATGTGGGTGTTATTGTTGTTGACAGTTAGCCCTGTATGTGCTGTCATTCCTTGAACCTAAGGCGCTACTGAAGGCGGCCCAGACATGTCAGTACTGGCGCCTGCTGGCAGAGGATAACCTTTTGTGGAGGGAGAAGTGTCGGGATGAGGGCATTGATGAAAATTTAGTTTATGGACCCAACAGGATACGGCGCAAGCGCTGTCCCTGGAAGGCCTTATACATGAGACAACATCAAATTGAACTGAACTGGAGATGTGTAGAACTACGGCAACCCAAAGTAATTATTTGTTGTGTGAAAAACTATTCATTGTCTATAGTATGGAGCACAAAGCAGTGTGTGTCATTCTTTGTCAATGTTATCCAGAAAACGTGTGTACCGTGAACATGCTCATTACAACTGTATTTCTTTAAAACACACATATTTATGGACCCTTTGAAAGTGTCTATATTTTTCTGAAATAACTACAAAATTATTTACGTGGGGTCCCAGATTTAAGTATATTTGTAGTCAAAATAACTGAAGTGAAAGCATTGTTTGATGTCATGTGGCTGTCGCCCATTAAAAACAATTTGATATTTGTCAAGATGATGAGATTTATATAATCATGTTTCGTGCTGATGCTTGCGTAATTCATCTCAGTAAAGGGGTGATATGCTGTAACAAATCTAATAAAGTTGTTAGCCAAGAAGGTTGTAGCATATCGTCCCCAGATTGGTCACTGTTTTCTAGTGATTCTATATAAAATACGAATTTGTCAGTATTTTTTTTCATTTTGCTTGTTAGTTCAAATACAAATGACTACAGCATAGTGTAACATGGATTTGATTGTGATGTCGGGGATTACAGACAATTGAATGAGAAAACCTAGCATTCAGGTTTATTTTTGAGATTTCCAAGGAAAAAGAATGTTGGTTTTGTCTGTTACAGTTATTAAAAGGACATGATGATCATGTGATAACGTGCCTGGAGTTCTGTGGGAATAAAGTTGTCAGTGGATCTGACGACAACACCCTCAAAGTATGGTCAGCCCTAACAGGAAAGGTAAAGTCCCTCTCTGAACATGAAACCTCCAAAATAGGGGTAAATTTAACAGAAAAAAATAAAGTTCTTCCCTAAACATGGTACACTCAATGTGGTGTCAGCCTTCTAAGAAAGGTAATCTCTCCTGAAATAACTCTTTTTGTCCATGAAGAATCACTTTCCCTTTTCGAAAATAAAGTTTTGTGTGAATTCATAAGTTGTTATTTTGATAATAAGTGCAGATAAAAATGTATTTGATGAGTTTGTGTTTATTTTTTTAAACTGTCTTGAAAATCAGAGATCTGTATATTAAACTGTGGATATCCCATAAAATGTCATCATACCTAATATTATAACAATCATATTTTATATATTATTAGTACAATGTCCTTTACTAAAAATCTGCTATTTTCACCTTGTTATAAGATTTTGTGAAAGTTCTTCAAATATTCAGCAGGTTTGATATGTTTTATTTCCTGAATGCTGACAGTATCAGGTTTATAAAGTGATTTAAGTCTAATGTTTGTCCTGTGTTTCAGTGCCTGAGAACGTTAGTCGGCCACACGGGTGGGGTATGGTCATCACAGATGTCTGGTAACATTGTGATCAGTGGGTCAACAGACCGCACACTTAAAGTTTGGAATGCAGACACAGGAAACTGTATACATACCTTATATGGACATACTTCTACAGTGCGGTGTATGCACCTCCACGATAATGTGTAAGTGTGTGGGAATGGAGACACCTTAATACAGTCGCGGTAATACTGTATCTTGGTGTCAGAAAACTGACAGGCTAGAAGTCTCTTCAAATCCAAATTCTAAAATACGTATTCCAATATATCCTTCTGTCCCAAAATATATCTGGGGCATCTATCTGAAGTGATCAATTCATGTTTTCTAAACTATTATTCCTAGACTTATAAAATCATAGATTTTGTGTTTTGATTTTGTTCCTGGAATCGAGTAAATAAGGCTCCAGAATGAACCTGTCAAACTGAATCAGATTCTGCTCTGTCTGTAAGTTGTATTATGTAGGCCATGTTGTTTGCAACCAGTAAAGTTAAGTGTAAATATTTTCTACAAACAGTAAAGCAGTATTCAGATATCTTGTGTAAATACTGATATCCTGAATTACTGTTTTAGTAATCTGATAATTATGTAGAATATGTCTACAGGATTAAATGGGAATATGTAAGTTAGTATATAAAAACGTCTTTTGATAAGTGCCTTGTTATTGTAGCGTTGTGAGTGGGTCGCGGGACGCCACACTACGAATGTGGGATATTGATACTGGTCAGTGTCTGCATGTCCTCATGGGTCACGTGGCAGCAGTACGGTGTGTCCAGTATGATGGTCGTCGAGTGGTCAGCGGAGCTTACGACTACATGGTGAAAGTCTGGGACCCGGAGACAGAGACTTGTCTACACACACTCCAGGGACACACCAATAGGGTGTACTCTCTACAGGTATTTTTAGTCCCCTGAAACTCTCCATCCAATTGATAATACTTATGAATGTCCTGCCACCAATAAGAAGCCATAACCTGTTACAATTGCGAAATTTTTATTAATGAAATTGAAAATCCATTTCTTTAAAATTCAATTGCAAATTTAGAACTCTATGTCCATATATTTAGAAGTATGGCTGCATCAGTTTAAGTCAGTGACACCTAAAATGATAAATTGCATTCAAAACCCCCAATTTCGTAGAAAGGTGTCATTCCACCACCCTTAGTTAATTACTAATATAGACGATGCTTTTTTCTACCTAGCTAGCCGGCAGCTTGACAGTATTGTGATTTAATTGTCTAACAGTCTGTTTACCTTGTCCTTGTTCTACAGTTTGATGGTAATATATCAAAATGCCTTTCAACCAGTTTTCTATACACTTTTCTATACACTATGTAAATGTGACGTAGTGCATATCAAAATGTCGCATATATACATTTTGCTGATTGGGCTATACAAACCTGAATAGTCTTTCAAACATGTTAATGTTTTGCCCACATTACGATGACTGTATTAAGTTAAAATAACGATAAAATATTTCCCTATGCTGTGAATGTTTTGTCCACAGTTTGACTCTATAATTGTAGATAAATGTCTTTTTACTCCGAATCTTCTGCCAACAGTTTGACGGTATCCACATAGTGAGTGGTTCTCTGGACACATCCATACGTGTGTGGGATGTGGAAACAGGAAACTGTCTACACACACTTATCGGCCACCAGTCTTTGACCAGTGGTCTGGAACTCAAGGACAACATTCTCGTGTCCGGTAACGCTGACTCTACAGTCAAAGTTTGGGATATCACCACTGGCCAGTGTCTACAAACATTACAAGGTGGGGGGCAGTGATAGGATTGACTTCAGTATTTTGGCTCAGAATATTCCATGTTATGGAATTGAATACTGTGACTAGCTAGTGACTATATGGACACACCCTGATATATATAGTGTACATGTTAATTAAAAGAAGAGCAAAACTCTGCAATTATTTGTTATGGAAAGGATAGTGTGTGTACATCTAAGCTACTCCTGCATGCCTTAGGGGAAAACTACAAAAACATTTGGGTCACAAAATTTGGTGTTTAATTACAGTAAATCAATATCAAAAAAATTGTATTGCTTGTAATTGTGTAGGCATACCTGTATTTGTGCGATTCGATTATTCTTATGTTCTGTTAGGAATGCAAGCATTCAATTAATATACCTTCTGTAGTTGTTAATTGATGTAAGTTAATCTTTATTTCTTGTACTGTACAATGTGGCTGACATTTATTACTTACAATGTAATTTGTCTTTCAGGCCCAAACAAACATCAAAGTGCTGTGACATGTCTGCAATTTAACAAACGCTTCGTCATCACGTCCTCGGATGATGGAACAGTGAAAATATGGGACCTTAAAACTGGAGAATTTTTACGCAACCTAGTGGCTCTAGAAAGTGGGGGGAGTGGGGGTGTTGTGTGGAGGGTCCGGTGTAGTAATACTAAACTTGTTTGTGCTGTAGGCTCTCGTAATGGTACGGAGGAAACAAAACTGTTGGTGTTAGACTTTGATGTTGATGACAAAAAAATCAGTGTATGAGTTTAAAATCCATATAGTGCTGCAGAGAATCATGCCAAAAGGACCTGGATTGGGATGTTCTCGTAAATCTGTGGAGTATTCTTCGGATACAGTGTTAATTTAAATGTTCTTGTGAATCTGTGATCTAGTGGAACAATGAGGATAGGCCGTCGACCATCTTTGTGATAGTAAGAAGTTAAAACTGCAGTGCATGTTAATGAATTCCCGGTAGTATCATGAAAGGAGTAAGTTGAACCCACCCCAGAAATGCCAAATAGCTGGCAGTTCAACTCCATATCTACATGTAGGCTGGTCAGCCAACACCATTATGGTGATGTGTTGTAATGGTTAGAAGCATGTGTTTGCAACATGAGTGTGCAAGATAAAGGCGAATCAAAAGTTAAACTTTTCAGAGTAATAATTGTATTATTTTAAAACAAAAATACACATCAGTAGACTATGTTGGTTAATGGTTTTAACAAATTGTGAGCAAACCACGTGTGGCTTTAACTAGTAGATGTATGTGTCTGATTTGTAGGCTGGGCAGGGAAAATGTTCATTTCAGTTCTTTACAGCACATAACCTACAGTCAAATGGTATAAATATTCTAGTGTTGACATGCTATTTCTGTAAAATTTTATACTTCATGAAAAAAATATTGTGAGAGTACATTCTGATTAGCTGCAAATCTGGATGGGAGTCTGTGAATTCAAAAGTGTATGCAAATTCTGACAACACATCATTTTGATAATTTGATTAAAACCAATGATATGTTTTTAACAGTTCCATTAATCCTTAGGTTATTTCAAGCAAAATCATGGAATAGTTTTTGGTCACAATAATGAAAATCAGCAGGTTCATTATAAGAAAGAGTAACAAGTAAATAATATAAAAGGTCCATTACTGGGGTAACAAACACATTGACAGGTCCACTATATAATTACTGGGGTAACAAACTCATGAATTGGTCCATCATAAATGGGGCTACTCCAGCCTGGGACCACTTTGTTTGATGTCCGTGGGTAACAACTCCTGACTAGGAGACATGACTACAGCCTATATTTGAGCATGATATTTCAACAAGCATGTTCTTCACTTTTTTTTTTTTTTTTTTTACTGAATATGTACTTGAAAACAGAGTTAATAAATGTAAAAACGATATGGATGTGGCAGGAATGGTTTAAAAGTGAGTGCTGGTATTTTTGTCTCGCCAAATGATTGGTCGATATTGTGAAATTTAATCTATGTGGTAACATGATATCATGAATGTTTATATACATTTATAAGGACTTGTTGAGCATATTCTCAGGTGATCTCTAATTGTAATGCTCATTCTTCATCATTTTTAGTAACACTTCTATAAATAAAAGTACAAGTATCTCCTGTTGGTTATATACAAGTTGCTTCATCCTTCATATACATTACTGATTGGATGTGATTGCAGAGCTACTAACACAGTCTGGAAAAAATTGACGATTTGTTATCCAAGTATTTGTGTCGCCTGCAATGCATAGGTATTACTTTGTGGGCGGCGTCAGTTGCGTCGTCCTAAACAAGGTTTCCGTGCGATAACTTTAGTTCCCTTAGGTTGATTGTTTTGATGACTGTGTGATGCACCATCTGTCATCTTCCTTAGAAGAGCTGTATTTTAGGTATCATATATATAATTACTGAATACCAGGAAATATTTGCCACAGTTTAACGGTTACCTTTTTAATCTTACTTAATAAGAGCAGATTTATCATGATGGCAAATATTAGTACACCATATACAATGTATTGTATTAAAGTGTTTGTGAACGGTTAATATTGACCGAATTGCGTGAAAGTTTCTCAGTGTACAGTACTTGACTTACTATTCCTCATACAACACTGGTAGATTGCATTGCATGTAGTTTAAAGAAATGGTCTTCTTTGTGATAAACTTCGACTGCAAATTTGAATCTAAATGTTGAAGACCCCGACTGGAATATTTCCTGATACCAGCAGTTACCCAGTACTGTGCCTTCAGCTACTTTCAAGTGACATTTCCCTGACCATGCATTTTTAATAATTATTCATCATATGCAGATGTAGGCAATGCGAAACTTCTATTATCAGATGTAAGGATGTGATTGGTAGACAGGACAGGTCATTCTGTTACTATACTTTTATTTGAAAACTCACAGCAGGTCAATTACAAAACTTGCCTGAAATCTGAAAATGGCTGTCTTTTATAAATGCACTGCCGAGCTGATGTATTCTGTTGACTCAGTAATGGTCTGACGTGTAAGTTAGGTGTGGCTGTAAGTTGTACGTTGTCTGTGTATCTCCAGTGATATTGTAATCCCTACTAGTCATACTAATCAGTCAAACCATCTGTGTGTGTTCCTTATCTTTTGTTCACCTTTCATTCTATGTAACAGCTTTCAGAGATCCACTCTACTACACACTTGTGTAAAGGTATCCTGTTGTGGTCAGTCAGAGATCCACTCTACTACACACTCGTGTAAAGGTATCCTGTTGTGGTCAGTATTGTCTTAGCATTGGACAACGTTTTGCACAGAGCAATGTATAACATCTCAACAAGTGGAAATAATGTTAGAAATTGAAGTAAAGTGTGGGATCAAGTTTGTTGGATTAGTTTTCGGCTGATCAGTCAAATTCCACTGTACCGCAGCAATCATCGGAAACACAAGTATTTTATTTTCTCATGATGATGTTAACAACCTCATTTCCTTGTGCAATTTATTTTTAAATGTTTTGATTGGCTTGGTGCCTTGTGTGTCACAAATAAGTCATGGATGGAAATTGTTTGTATAACAGCAGAAAGCCCTTTGCTACTGCCAAGGTATCAAGATTTTATGGAAAGTGTCTGTAACAGAGTAGGAAATTTGTTCTTACTTCCAATTTTTCCGGAAGAAATTTTCCCATTCTAGAACTTCCTGTTTTAATTTGCATGTTATAGCATGCATCATACTTCAGAATTTGTAATACTGGTTTGAGAACTCACTGTTGCGATGTCTTCAAACCTTAGGGACAGGACACTCCGTCAACTGGTTGATTTCCTGGTTTACCAATGGTATACACTTTATTTGCTGCAGAAAGTTTGTTTATAAATTAAGATATTATGATATTGTAAGATCAGTTGTAAGTGTGTGTATGTGTGTGTGATTGCAAATCATTGCAGCAGGTGCTATACTTTATCACATTTATAACACGTTACTCAATCCTCACAGACATTTGTGATCGTATTGTCTGGGTTATCACCTTTATGTGTTACTCAATAACTTTTACAATTTATTGGCATTTTCTTTCTTTCAAAGAACTTCAACAAATTTTGTTGACCATTGTGATGTCGGATAATCTCCACACTTTAGCCTCAAAGTGGCGTTTGTATGGAGTTACCTAAAGCTTGTGACAGATGTAGTGGTTATCTACCCTTTTATGTGAGCTTGTTCTCCGTGTGTCCAGCGACATTTTGTATATAAAGGTGACTTTATCAATTTGTCTCTGAAGTGATGTTTGAGTCTGTGAAGTTATTTTCCCCCTGAAGTGATGTTTGTGTATACAATGTTATCTCAATCCCAGTGTCTGTGTGTGTCATTGTATTTTAAGGTTGTCTACCCATGTGTTTCCTGGGTGGAGTTTTTGAATTATGGGTTATCTCCCTTACCTGCATTACTACAGGTCGATTTATAATAGTGTACGTGGTATGTATGTTGTGATCGTTAAATGTGTTGTGATTTCATTGTGTACATCAATGTTCCTTCAGGTTTTTGTCATACTATATAGTATTTGAGTTTTTTGTGATTGATTTTGGAAAGTATGAAACCAATATATGGGAGATAATGATAAGGGAGATGATGGATATATATATATATTATTATATTAGAGGAAAGACTAACATAGCCGAGGTGGAACACACTGGTATATCTACCAGGTAGGTCTGAGTCTGTAGTGCAACATGTTGACAGGAGAGTAACCAAATTTTAAATATCATCTTCAAATAACCAACCATGTGCCAGTGTATTGGTTTGATAATCTCTGTACATATGACTAAGTGTATGACTACATGGGTATTGTGCATGAATGTGTGAACAACTGAGGTTTCATAGATTACTTAAACAGGAAATAATATAGTTTAGTATATAAAATATACTTGAGGAGAAAGACCATTGATTTTACTTATATATTTATAGCTAACTCCTATTTGTGAGTAACAGTCACCATCCCTCATATATGTAGTACTGCCTGGTACATAGTTGTATTCAATATGGTATTTGACTAGTCAAACCACTGCACAACTGTGAGTAACATTATTTGCACTTTTAAGACTTCATAAAATATTTGTCCAAGAGATAATTAAGAAATATCAATTAATTTATTTCAATGTATTGAATGTGGTTAAGAAATTTCAATTAATTAATTTCACTGTATTGAATGTAATTAAGAGATTTCATTTAACAAATTTCACTATTCTGAATGTAATTTCAACAAATTCTATTCATAAATATCACCAGAATGCAATTTAAAAGTTTGAATTGAATTTTTCATGCACACAAACTTGTAAAAAATGATATAAAAAAATGAAGGTGAAGTAATTTAGTGAAGGCAAGCATGTTTCACTTGTAATCTATATATATTTAGTACACTGATTGTGAATGTGTCCAGTTCCTTCAAGTGGCACAGCTCCCACTGATGAGAGTTATGTTACAGTGATATAGACGAGTCCTGATGGTTCTGTGTGTTGTTTTAGCCCCTACTCACTTCTAACTAAAACAGGGATGCTTAGTATCACATGAAGGAACTGTGTTGGCCACTCCACTCCAGAGAGTGACTAGCAGGGAATGGGATGGACTGTTTGGTGTGTGTGTGGTGTATAAAATGTGTACATGTGTGTGTAATGATTGTGTGATAGTGTACAGATGACAGTGTCAGTGGTCATATCTGGTGTGGATCCAGGTGGGGCATCCACATCACTCCTCATCCCTTATAGTCTATCTGGAGTTATGTCCTCATACCCCTACCCCCTCCAATGAGATTTGTTTGGAGGGGGGTTGCTATTATCATGAAAAAAATAATAATAAAAAAGTGTGGATTTGTATTCAGATGGAAAACTTTGGTTTTAACTTCATATCAGTATTTTTTGCATGAAGAGTGCTGATGAAAATTGTGGGTGCCCTCCTACATATATAAAATCCTAGATCCACTCCAGTATATGACAGTAGCTGTAGCCAGAGAGGTACGTGATACATGTACTCTGGGTTTTCGCTGTAACAGTGAATGATGTGTAGATTTATAAATGTACAGATGTAAAATTGTTGAGAATACTTTGAATGACGGAGAGTATGTTAAATATATTGTGTGGTATCCAACTTGTACAATAACTGTAAAAGGTATATGACACAGGAAAAACGATACTGCAGAATAAAAGTCACAACAAACACATACCGTCTTCTGTGGTTTTTTATAAACAAGTATTTTTCTGAACACGACACAAACTTTAACTTTATATTGGTATAATTACAGGACATTTTTATTCAAGTTCAATAGTGTATCTACCTTTTGACAATCATATTGACATTTGCATCCATAATGGGGAAAAATACTGATATATTGCAAAGGTTAACATGTCATCTACCAGGACAGTGCCATTCATGCTACATGTCATAAATTTCTTTAAAACATATTAAATACCTGAGTCAAGTTGTTTTAATAAAATTGGAATGGAGCATCCACATCTTTTTGCAAGGCAGACTCAGTGCTGTATAATGATCAATATATAGAGGTGTGGCCTGGCCCTACCGAAAAAAGAGGGGTGGGCCCAAATTACAGGAAATAAAAATCTTTTAACCCTACCCCTACAGTAACAGTAAAGGGAATTTCAACTAAAGCTTGTCAAGAGCATCCTGGTTAATGTGGAAATAAATCTTAAATCCTTAAAATGTCACCAGGGCAGGTTGATCTTAACTTGATTTGACAATGAGCTTTATATGACCGCTGGATAGGTGAGGCAAAAATGCAAGTCATTTGAATAAAAAACTACTCAAAATGATATAGAACTCAACTAGTTATCATCAGATACACAAATAATTGGCGTGAGAGAAAAACCACAATCCTGCTTTAAATACAGATCTCTACCAAATGCTTTCCAAGCAGCATTGGTCTTTGGCCATGGGAACATAGTCAAATATTGCATCAAGAATGTATAGCTCCGCACGGGGCTGAGGAGGCATTATTCCGTCTTTGCCTATTGCAGAGTTATCTGCTCTTGAGAGCAGGTATTGATTGTTACCTCATTTGTTTGTGAGAGTAACGTCATCAATTTTTGAGAAAACAACATAATTTTCTCACACAAACCAATGACGTAAAAATCAATACCTGCTCACAAGAGAAGATGACTCTGTAATACGCAAAGACGGAATACAAACGGGTGAATTTAATAGCCTACTACTCCTGAACAGTTGATCATATTTCAACCAAATTTGCCATAGAGAATCCTTGTGACGTTCAGAGTATCAATTGTTTTGTTATACTAAAGAAAGGGTGTGTACTACTTGCTGCTGTTGAGTGCGAGATGTGCGACAGATCCCAAATTGGAAAATAATATATGAGTTTTATGAATTAATTTGCCTTTCGTTTTTTTAGTATTTTTTTTCATCGAATATAGTTTATAATCCCAATGGACAATTGCATTGATGATTTTGTTTCATTATTATAGGCCCTAATCAATGTTAAATTAGAAAATGAAAATGATTCAATTAACTGGGGTGTAGCTAGTTCTTGCTGGGAGTGTTTGATTTAGGGGTGGGTCTAGGAAAGGATCATAGTGGGTTGGCCAGAAAACTGCCCCTACTTGGAGCCCAACCTTCAGCCGAAAATAACTTTCCCGCTCAAATGTCAAAATGTCAGTTACCGAACGAAATTAGAGAGGCTCCGAATGATGATTTCCGGTTTACTTTAGGTCTGGAGACGAAAGTTTGACGACAGTTTTGAAATCAGCTGCCCTAGGTGTTACAGACTTGTCATGGTGATTTATTATTTTTGAATTCTTATTTATAACATACACTTGTATCGTTATAGCATTTAGACCCGGCTGATTTATATAGAATGAAAAAAATACAGATTTAGCAGACGAACCTTTTTGTATGTTTCATTGAAAGTCGATTTTTACAGGGACACGCCCCCCGGAAAACGTCAACACTAACCATTTGACATAAAGAGTTCTGATACTTTCTCGTTGCAGCAAGAAGGATATTAATGATTTATCTATTTAAAGAATGTGACATCTTCTTGTTATACTTAAGTCGGTTGTAAAAACTTAATGGCTTGTGTTTGTTTCATGTCACATGGAGTGGTTTTGACAAAACGATTTAAAGTCTTTACAACGCTCTCAACTACAGAAAACACAAAACAGAAGAAAAAAAATATAAAGCTTTAAAAGCAATTATTAGTGACAATGGGTTTATTATATGGAACATGTATAGTGAGCTCCAGATAAATGAACTACAAACAAGACAGAAATCTCCAAGTATATAAAACATGATCTGCAGTATTTCCGTAACACACTTGATCAACAATGCTATCAATATTACTACTTTTGTTTACAATCTTTGTTAATTGTTAGGAAGAGGTCACCGAGTCTGAGGCAGCACAGAACAACATTACTGTTAACGGTCCCTTCCAGCCTTTGTTCTCGGTAAAAGTTCCAGATGCTGTGAAAAATGGAGAGATTCTGCAGTTTAACATTAAAGTATTCAAGGTGAATAACAAATGACATTTCCAACACAGACAGTGACAATGCATTGACCTTTGCAGGCTTATTTAAATGAATATATTTGAAATAAGTAACAAATTTTGGTATGCATTAATGTTTAAAAGAAGTTATATATGTAGTTTAATGGTATTGTACCAATGTATCAAGTTTCAATAGAACCATAAATTAATTGCTCCAGTCCTAGTCAGCCATGACATTAAGCATTTTCACAAGCATTTTATGGGGTACTTTTGCTTGAAAGTGAAAGTTCAATATAATATTTTGTCAAATGCGATGATAAAGAAAAAGGAAAATTTGCAATCTGCTCTATTTTAAATTCAATACACGGTAAAAAAAATCCTTTCTGTTGGTGAATCTATAGTCATATAGGACAATTATAACTGTGAGGAATTTATTTGGGGGGAAAAATTAGTGTGATGAAATATTTAGTTCACAATTTTGTTTGTCCGGGTCTCGTAGAAATACTACATTTAAAGTTACGTATATGAGGAAAGGATTATTAAAGTGATACAGGAATACATAGATTTTATTTACAAAACTTTGGCTAAGTCAGCTCTGAGATAAAAAAGCGATATCTCTTAATACTGTTTTTAAAATGTAATAAGCTGGTATAAACTTATAGGGAATATGTTGATTGGTTAAGCTATATATAATGTACCTACTGATTGGATGTTCACAGCCAGACACGGACGAGCTGATATGTACTGTATCCAGACAGTATGAGGATCTGGAATGGCTTCAGCACTGTCTCATGACTGAGAACAACATCAACGGTATCATAGTAAGTTACTGGCAATACATCAGCACTACTATAGGCTTTCCTTAAACACTTAAGTTTTTTCATCGTTTACATTCACCTGTTACACAGAAAGTGTTAACAGGACTATGTTATTCTCACAGAGTGAACAGAATGAACACCTTGTCCCTTCATTGACTGTACAGTCGATCATGTGTTGAGGCAGAAACAGTTTTCTTTTTTTTTCCTTTGCTTAGATAAACCTATATCCACCAAAAATGTTGTTAAAATCCAGTTACATCAAGCATCATTATACATAGGTACAACATTTCATTTAATATTTAGGGCATGAGTAATCCAAGGTCAATCATGATGTAACGTCGGACTCAAACTTTGATTGAAATTCACAAATGGTTTCTAATTGATGTTTGCTGCCTAACGGAACCAGTTACCATAGAAAACAGGATCTCGTTCCAGCTTAAATGTTCTTCTGCCATGTGGTAAAACAGTTTGTTAATAACAAAAGCTTCATCAATTTCTAGTTACCTCCCCTACCTGCCAAACCAGAAACAGATGCAAAAGCAGCAGAGAAAAATACAAAGAAACAGCTTGGAAGTTCAACTAATGTTCTCATGGCTGATGAGTTCCATGTTCACTGTCACAGTGTAGAAAAGTAAGTATCATTAAATACATTATCCAAATAATTGTCAAATACACAACCCAACTTTTAATACATTGCCCCGAATGTGATTTTATAAATACACTATTCCAAATGTAGTCAAAAACACTGCCCAAACTTCAGTTTAATACACTTGTAGTCAAATTAACTTCTCTATACTATAGTATACTACTCCAGCTGCAGTTCATTCGACAGGTAACAACTAAGGTAAGGAAATAAATGCATTAGATGGTTAAATAAATGCAGGAAAGTGAATTAAAAGTAAATAAATGAAAAAATAGCTATGTAAGATTGTCTTAATAATATGGGAGTGTGAGGGATACATTTGGTCACAATTTGTTTCCATCTGTTCCATCTCCTTATATATTACAGAACTTATCCTAATCACATTCTCTTAACCTCCTAGATATCTGGTGTTGGTGCTGGAACATGAAGTTTTAGGCAAAGACAAAGAAACCCTCAACAATTTCCTATGTCAACAAGAGGTAAGTGAATACTAGTATCTCTCTCATTGGTAGATATATTGATTTATTGTGTAAAGTATGTACTCATCTTTGAACATTCAACAGCATTTTATTCAGATATTGATATGGTTAGAATAAAAATGTCGAAACTGAACCTTGCAGATTTAACTTACATAGAATGGTTTATAATGTGACAAAAGTTGTACTGTGTAGATATTGGATTAATTCTATGGTGAATATAACGATATAGCCACCAATTCGAGCCAAGCTGAAAAGAGGGATCATGAGTCGATTGTCTTCAGCGGTGGAGGAGGCAAGGAAAGGCCAGCACAGGGTAAGTATAAAATTGATGTATATGACTGATGTTATGTTAATTGAATGTGTATAATGTACCATATTTATCCTGCCATAAGCCCTGGTGGTTACACAAGATCTCTGACTCAAAATGCATTGGTGTGGGAGATGGGGTGGTGTAACAGAACAATAAAATAACATTTGTTGGCATTTCTGCTGAAATTCAATAAATATGGGTGGGCTTACCAGTCATGGACTTAATGCTGACAAATCTTTTTTCACTGCGTATACACTAATCTATATTGCTGCAGTCAGAGAACAAAGGAAGGACGAGATGTAAATAGATGTTGGTTAATTGATCGATCAGGTTTGAAATGAAACTTGTTTCTGCAGGACATAGATGAATATTTCCACAAACAGAGGGAGTGGAGTACAGAGTATTCCAAGGCAGCCAAGGAAGCTTCACAGGTATGTAGGATGTCCGTACCAGAACTCGAGGACTTTTAACGATATTCCATTGAGAAGCAGATACTGTTACATGCCAAAATACTATCCATCCAACTTTTTGGTATAAAATCATCAACTTGGTAGACAAGTACATTTTAGAAAGACATAAAAATTTGTCAGGAACAAAAAATGAGGTCAATCTAACAAATTTTGACCTTTGACCTGCTTTAGAATAGGACTTTAAATACTTCCTCTTTACCTAGCTAAACTAGCAATAGACAGGAGGGGGAAATTGGCATTGGGTTACAATCTTAATATTATATGATAGTTATGCATGACTTTTATGAAAACTATACTCTGTGTATCGAATATTCTTTTCTTTTGTTGCAGAATTTTAACAGAATGTTAATAGCACAGATGAGTAAGTGTTACCCTAAATCAGATTTTGTCCGGATTGATACCAGTGTTTTTTATCGTAGTAACCTAGATGATATATGATCATCATAAGGCGTTGTTTGATTTTGTTATCTATGACTTTGTGGAAGGAGGGATTTTTTTTAGTGGAAATGGACTGATCCAAATAATCTTTTGACTTTAGGTAGTTAAGTTGGACTGAGAGTTGGTCTAGAATTTAGTGGTTCTTGGTTTGAATCCCGGTCTGGTCATGCAATTTTCCTTTCCTGTTGCACATTATAACAGACTCTGGCATACACAACATTCTTATGCACTTGATATTTTGTATGTCCTTCACACTGTTTATTTATGACATATGTGCCATTTCCCTGTCCTCCAAAAACACAGTTAAAAGAGGATTTTAATCTAAGTCTGAAAATACTCTTAATTTCCATAAAATATTCACCGAGATCATCTCAGACCTTCTCTCTATTCAGGATTGGCTGGTTGCTATGGACATTTCGCCACTACAATGTCGGCCATGGATGTGTACCGGGACGCGACCTCTGTACAAATCAACATGTGAGTTGTGTTAAAGCTGCCGCGGAACTTCTGAGGTCAAGGGTTAAAGTTGAAATGGGAACAAATGACTAACAAAAACGGCTTGAAGATTGATTTCATGTACATATGTAACATATCTCATTACTGTTTGAGTGTTAGCATATTCCATTGTTGGTGTGACGGTCAGTTTTCATTGTTTCACAGCTCAAAGATCTAGTAACTGATTGAATGTATGTTAGTATATATGCCCTGTTCTCCTATTCTGTGTGGTAATGATGCACCAAATGTTCCAAAAGATTTCAGAAGTCAAACATTATCAGCCATTATCAACATATTTTCTTATTATGCAATTATATCTGTTTTGCAGATTATATTTGAAAAATTAAAACATGACATATGTGCAATATCCCTGTCCTCCAAAACACAGTTAAAAGAGGATTTTAATCAAAGTCTAAAAATACTCTTAATTTCCATAAAATAAGTCACAAAACATGTATTAATACATGTAATTGTATATAATATGGAGTATATAATATACTGCTGATTATTTTTTATTTTCTTTGATTATTTTTTTTGTGCATGTGCTCATTTGATTTTATTCAGGTTACTATCAAAAACGGCAGAGGGAATGGAGGACTCTAAGGTAATATTTAAACCATTGATATAAAGATGCAGTATTTTTTGTCTTTGGTTAAATGCACCATGACTCTTGAGAAATCAAATGTTTTCCTAAGTAAAAGACACTTCCATCCATACTGATGATTTCGTGTCAGTTTTTAGGCAATGACATGTAAAGTTAGACCTGTTAATTTACTGTTTACTTTACCTTTGTGTACTATTACAGCGTGGTATGGAGGTGTTATGTGTTAATGACGAAAAGACCCTAGCGCGTCTGTTGGACCTCTACGATCGTTACATGGACTCAGTCAAGGTACATCGTGCGTCTGTACATGTAGTCACTTACTCATGTACATAGACCAGTTTAAGTTGGCCGAGAGGTCTAAAGAAAGTCTAAAGACAACTTTTAGTTTCACCTGAGATCTAGAGTATTTGACAGAAATCAATTTACTTTAGGCTGCTGTTTGACTCTTTAATTGAGAGTGTTCACTTGTTCAGCATCCTCACAGATTTATGACATATTGTATAATGCTACTATTTCATGAAACATTTATGCTCTCTTTATTCCTGATCTGAAGAAAGACTAAAAAAACACCTAAACCCAGCACATTGGTTTCCCTTCTGTATTAGAACTATTGTATATCTGTAAAGGGCGAGAAATTTGTTAAAAGCAGCTTGTCAGGAATCTCTAAACTAAATGTGATGGATGTCAGCTTGAGACTTCTATTTTATATCCATGTGTTCTCATTTTGGAACCCCCACTCGGAAATTTGAAAAACCCCTCAGACTGGCCTCTGGATCTGCCACTGTTTATCATGACAGATAGACTTCTTCATATTATATAAAATATTATAACCACTCTCAAGAACAACAATGAATGGGTTGTTTATTTGTAGGAAATGCTGTTCAGGAGAACCAGCCTATTGGTGACCTATGAAGATGCCACAAAGACATTAGAAAAGGCCAAACCAGCCAAAAAGGCAGCAGTGAGTAAAATTGAGTTAACTCTTATACAAGGATATCTCCAATTATTAATTAATTATTAGTTATTAATCTGTGCTGAAGCTAATTGTAGCTAATCCTAGGACATCTGTGCTGTAGCTAATCGTAGCTAATCCTAGGACATCTGTGCTGTAGCTAATCGTAGCTAATCCTAGGACATCTGTGCTGTAGCTAATCCTAGGACGCTTGTGCTGTAGCTAATCGTAGCTAATCCTAGGACATCTGTGCTGTAGCTAATCGTAGCTAATCCTAGGACATCTGTGCTGTAGCCAATCCTAGGACATCAGTGTTGTAGCTGATCCTAGGACATCTGTGCTGTAGCTAATCCTAGGATGACTGTACTGTAGCTAATCCTAGCTAATCCTAAGACAACTGTGCTGTAGCGAATCCTAGAATGACTGTGCTGTAGCTAATCCTAGGACATCTATGCTGTAGCTAATCCTAGGACAACTGTGCTGTAGCTAATCATAGCTAATCCTAAGACATCTGTGCTGTAGCCAATCCTAGGACGTCCGTGCTGTAGCTGATCCTAGGACGTCCGTGCTGTAGCTGATCATAGGACATCTGTGCTGTAGCTGATTCTAGGACGTCCGTGCTGTAGCTAATCCTAGGACAACTGTGCTGTAGCTAATCATAGCTAATCCTAAGACATCTGTGCTGTAGCCGATCCTAGGACGTCCGTGCTGTAGCTGATCCTAGAACATCTGTGCTGTAGCTGATCCTAGGACATCCATGCTGTGATGATCCTAGGACATCTGTGCTTTAGCTGATCCTAGGACATCTGTGCTGTAGCTGATCCTAGGACATCCATGCTGTGATGATCCTAGGACATCTGTGCTTTAGCTGATCCTAGGACATCTGTGCTGTAGCTGATCCTAGGACATCCATGCTGTAGCTGATCCTAGGACATCCATGCTGTGATGATCCTAGGACATCTGTGCTGTAGCTGATCCTAGGACGTCTGTGCTGTATCTGATCCTAGCACGTCTGTGCTGTAGCTGATCCTAGGACATCTGTGCTGTAGCAGATCCTAGGACGTCTGGGCTGTAGCTGATCCTAGGACATCCGTGCTGTAGCTGATCCTAGGACATCTGGGATGTAGCTGATCCTAGGACATCCATGCTGTATCTGATACTAGGACAACTGTGCTGTAGCTGATCCTAGGACGTCAGTGCTTTAGCTGATCCTAGGACATCTGTGCTGTAGCAGATCCTAGGACGTCTGGGCTGTAGCTGATCCTAGGACATCCATGCTGTGATGATCCTAGGGCATCTGTGCTGTAGCTGATCCTAGGGCGTCTGTGCTGTAGCTGATCCTAGGACGTCAGTGCTTTAGCTGATCCTAGGACATCTGTGCTGTAGCGGATTCTAGGACGTCCGTGCTGTAGCTGATCCTCGGACATCTGTGCTGTAGCTGATCCTAGAACGTCCGTGCTGTAGCTGATCCTAGGACATCTGCGCTGTAGCTGATTCTAGGACATCTGGGCTGTAGCTAATCGTAAGTGTAGCTAATCCTAGGACATCTGTGCTGTAGCTAATCCTAGGACGTCCGTGCTGTAGCTTATCCTAGGACGTCCGTGCTGTAGCTGATCCACATCTGTGCTGTAGCTAATCCTAGGACGTCCGTGCTGTAGCTTATCCTAGGACGTCCGTGCTGTAGCTGATTCTAGGACGTCCGTGCTGTAGCTGATCCACATCTGTGCTGTAGCTAATCCTAGGACGTCCGTGCTGTAGCTTATCCTAGGACGTCCGTGCTGTAGCTGATTCTAGGACGTCCGTGCTGTAGCTGATCCTAGAACATCTGTGCTGTAGCTGATCCTAGGACGGCCGTGCTGTAGCTGATCCTAGGACGTCGGTGCTGTAGCTGATCCTAGGACATCTGCGCTGTAGCTGATTCTAGGACATCTGGGCTGTAGCTAATCGTAAGTGTAGCTAATCCTAGGACATCTGTGCTGTAGCTAATCGTAGCTAATCCTAGGACATCTGTGCTGTAGCTAATCGTAGCTAATCCTAGGACATCTGTGCTGTAGCTAATCGTAGCTAATCCTAGGACATCTGTGCTGTAGCTAATCGTAGCTAATCCTAGGACATCTGTGCTGTAGCTAATCGTAGCTAATCCTAGGACATCTGTGCTGTAGCTAATCCTAGGACGTCCGTGCTGTAGCTTATCCTAGGACGTCCGTGCTGTAGCTGATCCTAGGCCGTCCGTGCTGTAGCTGATCCTAGGACGTCGGTGCTGTAGCTGATCCTAGGACATCTGCGCTGTAGCTGATTCTAGGACATCTGGGCTGTAGCTGATCCTAGGACATCTGGGATGTAGCTGATCCTAGGACATCCATGCTGAAGCTGATCCTAGGACATCCATGCTGTGATGATCCTAGGGCATCTGTGCTGTAGCTGATCCTAGGACATCTGGGCTGTAGCTGATTCTAGGACATCTGGGCTGTAGCTAATCGTAAGATATCCATGCTACAGCTTTTTCTTGGACATCACATTATAGCTGATCTAAGAACATCATAGTACTCCATTATGCTACGACATCTAGTATTGCATATTCTCTTAATGTATTTGTAACCCTTAATATCTGCACTACAGCAAATCATCAAACACTTTTATAAGTTTGTAATTTTGTAAATTATATAGGGTCTTATATAAATGTTGTATATTATTATGTCTCCCTTTCGAATGAAGGGAGACATATTGTATTAGTTCTGGTTCTTCTTTATCAAACTGGAAGCATACTTGCATCACCCACAGAAGGTGTGCAGTGCACTGGAATTAGGTATTGTGCCCCACTGTATACAGAGTTATGACCCTTTGTTTATTTTTTAATACCGAAGTGTTTCCGGAGTATAAGTTTCATGTTATTTCACCTACGTTGACCAAACTTAACATATTTATGTATCTTGGGAAGAAGAAATCTCTTGCACTGAAATCATGTCTCGTGCCCCACTTTATACAGAGTAATGGCCCTTTGTTTATTTTAAATACCGAAATTTGTCCATGGCATAACTTCCATGTTATTTCACCTAGGTTGACCAAACTTGCCATAGTTATGTATCTTGGTTAGTAGGAGTGTTGGATTCAAAAATCAGGTCTAGTGCCCCACTTTGTAAAAAGATATGGCCCTTTGTTATTTTTTTATACCGAAGTTTGTCTGCAGCAGAAATTCCATGTTATTTCTTCTACGTTGACCAAATTTGCTATATTTATGCACTTGGGAGAGCAAAGAGCCGAGTACTGAACATCACCCATCTGTGCATAATCGATCGTAGATACAGTTATAATTATTTGACTTTATCTGCATAATTTTATTAAATGACCTAAATACAAGTTTAAATTTATAAAAAATAATGCGCCAATAGATGAACCAGATTGTAATCAGATGTGTGATAATTCCTATTTTTATATACATGTAAATGTTTCTATAGTACCATAGCTGCCGAAACTTAACCAAAATTGTTGAGACAATTAAACATGAATCAGATTAATTTAAAGGTTTAATGGTTTAGAATTTACACACCTTAATCTTGATGTGACCTTGCATTTCTTCCAAATTTGCATAATTGACTAATAAGAGGAGACGTATGTTTTTGATCACAAAAACAAATTCCTAGTTATTACTACTATTATCACTAGCTTATCTGATGATGTCAGCAATCTAGTCTCCCAGGTAGATGGATTTGAATGTTCTTTTCTTTTTCTATTCAGGCAGAAGATGCAATGACATCATCTAAAAAGGCCTATGAGGAGTGTACAGCGGTTGCTAAGAAAGAGGTAATAGAGTACTCCTCAGCATTCCTTTGTTATTTACCCACAATTTTAAAGTACCAATAGGTTGTTTTCTTTCTCCATTCAGCTTTTATCGTCCTTGCGGTATAGCGAAATCTGCCACAGGAAAAAATGTAGAATGAAAAATGTCCTAGCAGCTTGTAAAGAAAATGTTAAGTACATGTTTTCTGGTTTTCATATTTTCATCTTTGAAATAAACAAAATATGTCACGTTTTCTCAAACCAAATTCTTGCATTTTTTTCGCAGTTAAAGTCCTTTATGCAGCAGAGAATCATTTCGTTTGAAGGCGGGCTATCCTTGTTTGCTGAATCACAGATCAAAACAGCACGAGACACATATACCTTGTTAGTCCGAACACTAAAAGCAGTGAAAGAGATGGACATATGACACTCATCTGGAATTAATGTATTTCTGAGCCAATCAATATGCCTTCAACTCTTGCTAAAATAACTTACATATAGATATGTGTATTTGACTATTCTCTTACTCATTGATGTACTTTTTTTTTATTAATTTTGAAATGAATTTATATTTGTCACAAATATGATCATAAATGTAAAACATGCCTGGTAATAAGCCCACCCATCAATACTGTATTACAGTGGAAATGCCAACGAAGGTTACTTTGTTGTTGTGTAATAAGTCCCACCCCCTATATTGAGTCATAAATGGGTTTGCCCCCTGGGCTTATTGCAGGATAAATACTGTACACAAGGTGTTTGATATAAAGCTGCATGTTGCTAAGCACATTGTTTTTATCAGGAAATATAATTGAAATTTTAATATATTTCACATAGTGCAATTAAACTCAAATTACAAAAACATTGTTTTTTTTTATCAGGAAATGTCTTGAAACTATTTCACATAGTGCAGTTAATATCAAATTGTTAAAATATTTTTTTTTATCAGGAAATATATTGGAACTGTGTTTCACATAGAGAAGTTAAACTCAAGCCGTTATTGCAGTGCACTTAAAATCAATTTGTTAAAACATTGTTTTTGTCAAGAAATATATTGAAACTATTTCACATAGTGGCGTTACATCTAACAGATACAACATTGTTTTTTATCAGGAAATATATTGAATCTGTATTTCAAATAGTGCGATTAAAATCAAATTGTTAAAAAAATGTTTTATCAGGAATTATATTAAAAGTGTATTTCACACTGTGCAGTTGAAATCAAATTATTCAATTGTTCAAAACTAATAAAGTGTTTAAAAGATAAAGCTTTGGAATTCTAAGAATTGCTTGCTTATCTGGTCCCTCCAATGAATGTTCTTTACTTTTGAGAACTTTCTCAAATGCTAAAATTGTAATAGGGTTTGGGGTTGGATGTCAAATAAAAAGTAAATCAGTTTAATGTATTCTGTTAGATGAAATCACCCACTGACTTATAACGGTGAATGAATTACAGAAAAATAAATGTGAAACATGTCGAGAAATTTCAAACTTACAAAAAAAATGGTTCTTTATATTCAGGCAAGAACCTTGGAATAACCCTTAAAACGAGATACTATTACTTCTTTTTCGTTCAGTCTTATTATTTAATTACTGAAGTCTTCATCTTAAATATTATGTTATATAACATATTCGTTTAAGATTTTACTTTTTATCTCGTCTCATTTAACAATGCAAAAATATATATAGTTTTTATCATCTTTATATGGTTAGTGTCTAGAATTAGTGATCAGTTGTGTTATATTATATGCTGTAAATTACTTATACAATTGGGTGACATTATCTGCAGCAAATTACTTATACAGTTGGGTCACATTATCTGCAGCAAATTACTTATACAGTTGGGTCACATTATCTGCAGCAAATTACTTATACAGTTGGGTCACATTATCTGCAGCAAATTACTTATACAGTTGGGTCACATTATCTGCAGCAAATTACTTATACAGTTGGGTCACATTATCTGCAGCAAATTACTTATACAGTTGGGTCACATTATCTGCAGCAAATTACTTATACAGTTGGGTCACATTATCTGCAGCAAATTACTTATACAGTTGGGTCACATTATCTGCAGCAAATTACTTATACAGTTGGGTCACATTATCTGCAGCAAATTACTTATACAGTTGGGTCACATTATCTGCAGCAAATTTTTATTAAAAAAACATGACACATTGAATGTAACAAAGTAGACCATCATAGTAAATACTCTTCCTGAAACATTCTTTACTGTCCCTTGTTGAACATTTACATATTATTTCGCTGATACATGTACAAACTTAACTGTCTGCTGGTATATGATTACTGTTATATTACATGAACAGTACGTAGTGATTATATAGAAGTTCATTCAGCATTGGTACAATTTTGGAGTTGGAAGTAGTTGCTATTTAAGTGTTCTGCGAACAATAGTTGCTATGTAGCAGTTCAAAGACTAGTGATTGCTACGTTTTATGTCAATGAGCAGAAGTTGCTAAATAAGTGTTTAGTGAGCAGTTGTAGCTATACAAGAGTTAAGTGAACACAGGTTGCTATATAGGAATTCAGTGAGGTATGGCTGCTATTTAGGTCATTGAGCAGTGGTTGCTATGCAGGAGTTTAATGAGCAGCAGGTGTTAGCGAGTAGTGGTTGCTTTTTAGGAGTTCAGTGAACAGAGGTTGATATGTAGAAGTTTATTGGTCATTAGTTGCTATGTAGAAGTTCAGTGGACATTTGATGCAATATAGGAGTTCAGTGAACAGTGGTTGATATGTAGAAGTTTATTGATCATTAGTTGCTATGTAGAAGTTCAGTGGACATTTGATGCAATATAGGGGTTCAGTGAGTGGTGGTTGCTATGTATGAGATACGTAAACAGTGGTTGCTGTGTATGAGATACGTGAACAGTGGTTGCTAGCAGGAGTTCAGTGAACAGTGGTTGCTGTGTATGAGTTCAGTAAACAGTGGTTGCTGTGTAGGAGTTCAGTGAACAGTGGTTGCTGTGTAGGAGTTCAGTGAACAGTGGTTGCTATATGGGAACTTATTGACCATTGGTTGCTGTAGAAGAGTTTAACGAATTATTTGTTGCTCTATAGGAGATCAGTTGGCAGTGGTTGCTATATAGGAGTTCAGCGAGTAGTGGTTATTTTGTAGAAGTTCAGTGAACAGTGGTTGCTATGTAGAAGTTCAGTGAACAGTGGCTGCTATGTAGAAGTTCAGTGAACAGTGGTTGCTGTGTAGAAGTTCAGCGAGTAGTGGTTGCTATGTAGAAGTTCAGTGAACAGTGGTTGCTATGTAGATCTAGGAGTTTACTGAGCAGGAATCACTTGTTGTAAAGTTTTGTATTGTCAGTATTATATACCAATCATCTTGTTGGTCCAGATTCAACAGTTCAATTGCTGATTAAACCATCTGTGATACTTATTTCTTAAAGGTTATGGTAACAATGTGCAATAGTCTTAAACATTTAAGATGATTTTACATTTGATACAAATGAACATTCCAGATATTTTGAATGAAGACATTATTTATAAATTAATAAACATTTTTTTATAAATGTTTACCATACTTTACCTGTGGCCATTAAAGATGTAACAGTTGCTTATTTTAAAGTGTTTGTCTCTTTGTTGTGTGTTAATGAGATGGTCAGACTCCTTATAGACAGGTCTGCCAAACAACAGACCCACAGCCTTAGGGTCATCCAACCAAGGGAAACCATGGTTATAAAGATGTATTGCAGATATAGATGTGCATGTTAGAAAAAATGGTAAGCTGTTGGATATAATATTTGGTTGATAATGTGAAAATGAATTTATAATTAAAAAAAGATGTTTTTCGACAGAAAAATCTAACAAGTACAATGTTGCTGTGTAATATCGCAGCCATGGAAGCTAAAATCAATGTCTTATATACTGGAAAAGGACCAACACATGGTCAAGATCAAAATCGAATAGTGCTTGTGGCTGGTATCTTGGATATCTGACAGGCCCAGAAATTAACAACACTATATGTCAGGATCATTTACAGAACACTTCTATGTAGTTTTGTTGTAAACCCGTCAGCTTGAGTTTAAAGTTAACAAGAGGCCCATGGGCCTTAACGGTCACCTGATAAATTTATACAGAGAGTTGATTTTTGTTTTTAACATGAACAGAAATATTATTCAAAGTGACAAAAAACAATAAAACCACCTTATTCGATATCTAGCATGCAGATTTAAGACTGAAAAGTATTTGTTACTAGCACCTCTGATTCTAAACAAGGAAAATGAGGAAATTTTATTTTAGCACACAGACTCCATTGGGCCCCACCCTACAGCCCTTTGGGGTAGGGATGGCTCAAAATTTACAAAGTATCAAACTGTCAACTTAGGGTTATAATTCCAATCAAGTTATCAACATGTAATATTCAAAGTATCATTTGCCATTATAAACCATAACAAATTTCCCCCCCCCCCTCCTTCCCCAGGGGGAAACGCGAGACCCCAGGGTCATGAAATTCACAATTTTGGTAAAGCACCTTAAGACCCTTCCATCTATGAAGAGTATTTGATTCTACCATATCTGGGTCTTGAGAAGAAGATTTTTGAAATTTCAGTCAATTCAACCCTTTTTGGCCCCACCCATCAGCCCCTGGGGGTCAGTCAGGGCTCATAGGTGCATACTATCAAACTGCTACCTAATACTGATAATGCTAACCCAAATTGAATTACTTCCAATGGAAATTAAACAAATGTTGGTCCAAAATGTGATTTCCCTATATAAACTATAGTAAAGTTTACCCCCTCCCCAGGGGGAAACGTGAGACCCCAGGGTCAAGAAATTCACAATTTTGGTAAAGCACCTTAAGACCCTTCCATCTATGAAGAGTATTTGATTCTACCATATCTGGGTCTTGAGAAGAAGATTTTTGAAATTTCAGTCAATTCGACCCTTTTTGGCCCCACCCATCAGCCCCGGGGGGTCAGTCAGGGCTGATATGTGCATACTATCAAACTGTTACCCAATACTGATAATGCTAACCTAAATTGAATTACTTCCAATGGCAATTAAACAAATGTTGGTCCAAAATGTGATTTCCCTATATAAACTATAGTAAAGATTACCCCCTCCCAAGGGGGAAACGTGACACCCCAGGGTCAAGAAATTCACAATTTTAGTAAAGCACCTTAAGACCCTTCTATCTATGAAGAGTATTTGATTCTACCATATCTGGATCTTGAGAAGAAGATTTTTGAAATTTTAGTCAATTTTACCCTTTTTGGCCCCGTGGGGCTGGGGACCATTTAATTCACAATATAGTTGACCTTTGGCCATGGAAGGATTCTGCAAAATTTCATTGAAATTGGTTAAGGGGTTTTGGAGAAGAAGTCGAAAATGTAAATTGTTTACGGACGCACGACGGACGACAACGGACAAAAGGCGATCGCAATAGGTCACTTGAGACTTTGTCTCAGGTGACCTAAAAATTGATTTTCAACATTGTAGCACTTGCAAATATTGGTTATCTGGTGGCATTGAAAAATACTAGTGCTTTCTCTGGACCATGTACTTAACATTTTCAAAAGTTTCATAGAAATCCTTTCAGTAGTAGTTGCAGTGATGTTTTATTGTAAAACCAAAACAGAACAAATTGATATTGTATAAAGTTGTCTCTTTAATGTCCGACTTCCTTTGTTATATATTGGAAGCCGTAGGCAACCAATGGTCAGATAATGCTCATTTAGGACCTGGATTTGATGGTAAATAAACTATGAATAAAAACAAAATAATATCAAGACAATGATCATAATGACAAAGTTCCTCGTGAAGGTCAAGGAAAAAAACAAGGCTCCTGATGTACTACTTTTTCAACATTGCAATATTAATCTTCACGTATCCATGGTAAATATTCCCGTATACAAAAGTAGATACATTTACTTTTTCTTGTTTTTCCCTGTCTATCCAGGCAAATCACATTCCTCTTATAAATATAGCAATTCACCAGACAAACAAATAAATACATATACCATATTTATAACACTATGTCAATGCTCAAAATTGCTGAGTTTTGTTTGCTAGCTTGAAAACTTATACGACACCATTAATATCCTATGACACCATTAATATTTTAAGACACCATTAATATCCATAAACATTTTTTGTTACCAAAAGGGCAACAAATTCAATTAGATTACACATGTATTATTTTTTTTACATTTTTTCCATGGCATGCATATAGTGAAAATAAAATCTGGGTAAAATTTAAGTGTTACAATGTACATTGAATTCAACTTAACTAATGGCACATTTAAACTTTCTCTTTATATTTTGTTTTTGAAAAAGATGGACATGAAAGAAGTACATAAAAACTAAACGTGCCTGAAAAATTTTGGCTTTTTGAAACATTGTAAAATAAATTGCATAGGTCCACAAATCTGATGTCTGATGACATTTTGCAACTAAAAGGATAATACATTGTACATATGTATAAAAAGATCTATGACCACCAAGAGAGAAATTTAATGTTGATGACATTACTGGCTGGAAGACAGTTTTTACGATGTAAAAATTTCTAATATATGTATTTCCAAAAGTGACATCATTTTGACATCATTTAAATACCAATTATAACGAATACATGGTTACTAGTCGATTTATAAAGTTAATCTAAAATGTTCCCATTAAAATAAATATGATACATTCTGAAATCTATTGCTTTTAATTAGTTTTAAAACATTAAGTCAGCTTCATAAAAGTATATAACTGTCTTATATATTTATTAAAGCTGAAAATATCAATGGCAAAAATGCAGATCAATACATACAATATATTCATGTATAATATATTTGAACACAGACTAAACACATGCAATATCACGATAAAACTTTTGTTATATACACTATAGGTGTAAACATTATACATACACTTTTCACTAGGGAAATGTCAATAATCTAAGTTTTCAAAAACAGGATTTTGATATTTGGAAATCAATTCTTTAAATATCGAAAGAAAATCAATTTTAGGAAATTCACTTAAGCTATATAGATTATAAGATAATTTTAAGTTAAACCATTTTCTAATACTGTACTACAATAGATTGAGACAAATGCCGACACACTTGGGCTTTATTTGACGAAGATCTAGCCAAAGCCAAACAAAAGCCAACAACCATACCGCCATAAAGAAACACAACGAAGTTCTCCCCCAAATAATATCAATATCAGTGACACATGATCACAAGCTGATCATCCCACACAACCAAACTAGGAATAATGTCGGTACATGTACATCTATAACTGAAAGTAAACAAACAAACGTACACAGAATGTAAACTAGGGGGAGTACACAGTATAAACTAGGGGGACGGAATGAGTATTAACCAATGCTATACATAAACAATAATACAAAGTTCCATACATAAATCTGTTTTCATTCATTGTGATATTGCAAAAAATAATATACTTTTAGAGATTGTGAACTTATCAGAGGAATGGAGTGTGGAAGAGTGAAGAATTTCTTTAAAACTTTTTCTTGTTTAATGGATACTGTAAAACATGGTTAGTACAAACACTTATTGCAACTTCTTATTTACAGTGAAGACATCTGTGTTCCCTGTCCAAGTGATGTCACATAAACATCTAGCTCTGTAGCAAATTACATTATCAACATGTTAACTGTAAAAAAAAAAAAATCTTAAGTCCCCCATGTTATTTTCTAAATTTTATTACCGTGTTTTACTACTTTTAATGTCCAAAGGGGTTCGTTATACAGTGAAACCTGCTATCATGATATTTTATTTGTCAGAGAAAAATATTATAATAAACGATATATTATAATAAACGATCAAGCTGTTTTCCATTGTTTTTATTTTGTCTGAACCGAAAGTGAGATGCCTTATATTCATCAGACATAGATCGATGTAGAAACATGGAAAAAATGGAGAAGATTTTCGTTTTGCGGTCGTAATGATCAGTAAGTAAATTCTACGTTCATATATCATTTATATAGCCATATTTTACGGTACGGAACCAATTTCTGATGACACTTGAGGTTTATTATAAACATGGTTTGCTGTAACTAATTTCTGATATCCCAAGGAGTTAGTTATTAACATGTGTACAGTACAGACACTGGTAACTTTACACTACTCTAGATATATTCTGTATGGGAATAATAATGCTAAACCTTGATTAGATATTTTAATTATGAAATTAATCAGTTCTCTTTTTCCCCTTTTTAGCACAAATTAATAATATCAAGATTTAAAAAATGCATCATAAAATAAATATAGTATATAAATGTAGACATACCGTATAATAAAATATGCATTCAAATAATTTACAATGATAGGACTGAACCACTATCATCCTGACATAACAATGTTGACAAGAACTTCCAAATAAATAAAACTTTTTGGCAAAATTGATTTTAACAAAAAAACAAATCAGCACTAGGCATTTATACATGATCAGGGTGACAATCAAGCACAAGGGTCATTATCTGGGTCAGCGTCCCCACAGCCCACTCCAGGTCCTGTGACTTGGACAGCAAACACCCGGCCACTGGACGCGCACACACACACTTTGTAGGCATTAGTTGTTGAGGAGGAGGAAGGGACAATTGCTCTGGGTAAGTTGCTGTCGAGGTACACTCCTTTATCGGCGTCCATGATAATGCTACCATCCTGTGAATGTATCAACCATATCAATGATGAATTCGTTAAACAACAATATTTTCAGTAGACCCTTATAATTTTATCAACAGGCTGCTGACTTTTAAGGAGTAAAATTTTGTCAAATAAAAAATCCACAAATGATATTTTTTTCATCATTTGTTCAATCCTTATAACATTAAAATGTGATATTATTTCACATGTTAGATATCAGATATGTAAGTGATGGTGTTGTGAAATCCTAAGGTAGCTAAAAACTAGTAAAATGTCTACAGATACGATTGTCCCCTTGATCCTGTGGTTATCCATATATAACAACCTTGGGATCCTTAAATACTAACTCACTCTAGATATTCTCAAACTTGGCCTTTGTTTAAGCTTTGATGAAAATCTGACCTGACAATGAATCTCAAATTGGATGGAACAGGACAGACATACAGGTAACACTATATAAGCCCCCCTCCTTACCCCTCCATAAAATGGTTGGAGTATAAATACAATTAAATGGTTTAACATTAACATCCCAGAACAGACTTCACTTCAAATTTTTTGCACTTTCTTGACTTTAGACCTGGAGATGTTCAATGTGACCCAAAAACAGTGAACTGCTCACTTTCGGTGGGTGGTGGAAAATAAACTTCAGGTTTCACAAAAATGTCTGTTTAAAAGCTTCAGCCTGAACAAGATTTCTTAGGAATTTTTATGCCCTTGTATAACCTTTGAACTTGATGATCATCACATTGACCTAGTTATTGTGCAGTGCACACTTCCTGGATGTGTTGCAGGTTTACTTCAGAAGTTCAGATTTCATCAAAATATTGTAAATTATTAACAGTTTAAAATCTACTGCTCACACAAGATTTCTCTGGAAACTTTGCACTTATCTGACCTTTGACCTTGAGGACAAGATCACAAACACCAAATTACAGGGTACGCCCTACCTCCAGGGATTGATGCTGGTATTCTTCAAGTTCCATCAAAATATCTCTTATGGTTTAAAATGGCCTGGACAAGATGATATTAAAAGGAAACCGTACTAATACAATATGTCTCCCTTTATTCAAAGAGGAGATATAACAAGTTGTATCCAATATCATTGGCAAAAAGCAACAATCAACATCAAATTTAAATGTACAATTTTGCTTTTACATGTATGTACAGCTATCCTGTGAGCAGCTGTAATGAAGGAGATGGCCTGGCTTATGCTAATGATGATATTGTATCTACCGTAAAGTGTGGTCTATACGATAACGTGTGGTCTATACCATAAAGTATTGTATATTGACTGTGGAGTGTTAACTACGCTGAGGTACCAACTTACCGTGGAGTGTAGCGTGATGTTGTTCGTGATGACATACACCTTGCCAAGGGAAGACAACTCCAGACCCTCCATGCCTTTAATCTCTGTATTTTTGTATGACTCTATATTCAGGCCGTCTACTCCAGGCACACTTTCCAGCTAAGGTATAAATACAAGAGGTTTACTATCACATGGTTAAAGATATATTCACTTTAAAATTCTTTGTACATTTATTTCCTTGAGTTTTACTTTCATTTGGTTATCATATTGGTTCCAGCAAAAGCAATATTATATAAGCACCCATTCCTAATAAAAGTCAATAAAGAAGTCAAAATATCACAAAAGGTACTGATTCAGGTTGAGTGTTGGTATAAAAGTTATTTGCATGATTTGGTTAAGTTAACTATCACACATGATGATTCTCTAGCCACTGTTTATAGTTGATTAAGACATATTTGGAAAGATTTGTCATTCTTTATTTTCCCATAAACAGGTGTCATCGTTTTTTCAGTTATTATAATAATCCTTTCTGTGAACTTACAGATCTCTCTGCTGTAGAGATCTGCAAGTCCACATAATCTAGTAATGAAATGCTTTAGCTGCTATGAATTGAATTTCTGAACAATGTGGTTTCTCAAACATTGTCCACGGTTAAATGTATAAAGAAATTACTGACCACAGGCACTTCCACTACAGGGGCATGTATGTTGACGCCTGGGCTGGCGACGGATGTCCACTCTTGTACAGCTTGCAGTCCTGTTGACAGGAGCATCTTTCCTGTGTCGAGGCTCCCCACCTTAAAGTTCTCCACAGATGTCACCTCTGCACTACCTGGCTGTAATTCAACTGAAATAAATTGTTTATGATGAGTAAGGGGACCTCAATCCTCAGTGTACTTTCTGTCTTATACTTCAGTCCTCTGGAACCTTGCTGTTTTTATATTAGTCTTCTGGAACCTTGTCTTTCTTTACTTCAGGCCTCTGGACCCATGCTTTTTTTTTTACTTAAGTCCTCTGGACCCTTGCCCTTGTTATACTACAGTCCTCTGGACCCTTGCCTTTTTATACTAAATTCCTCTGGACCCTTGCCTTTTTTTTCCTAGTCATCTGGACCCTTGCCTTTTTTTTACTACAGTCCTCTGGACCCTTGCCCTTGTTATACTACAGTCCTCTGGACCCTTGCCTTTTTTATACTACAGTCCTCTGGACCCTTGCCTTTTTATACTAAATTCCTCTGGACCCTTGCCTTTTTTTTACTACAGTCATCTGGACCCTTGCTTTTTTTTACTACAGTCCCCTGGACCCTTGTTTTCTTATCACAGTACTCCGGAACATTTTTCTTGTCAATACATAAAAAAACTAGACAGGAGATCAAATTCTACATTCTGCAATGATGAGTTGAATTGAACCAGGTATGGCCAGGGAAGGTGCTGTGGTGGCTGAGTGGTCAAGTCATCTGACCATTTAAGATCATTAGCCCTATACCATTCATTGGGTCATGGGTTCAAGGCTTATGTGGTTTTCCAAAAATTGAGAAAAGCATATACATACCTTTCAAAGCCTTACTGTGAAGTCCTTGATCTGTATCGGCCGTGAAAACAACCTGCAAAATAATATCTGTTTTATCTAAATCCATACAACAATGGCTACAGGATTTTAAGTTATCATAAGACAATTTAATCAAATGTTCCTTTACCAGTTGTGTGGTGGTCAGATGTTATAAACCGGAAAAGTTATAGTTCATCGTTATCTTTATTGGTCTCTTTATATCAGAACATGAGGTCACAAGAACATTTTAGAGATGAAGAAATATTAGAAAGTATTTCATAAATCTAATTAAATTTAAAGTGCACAAGGTACGATTAATGAGATACTGTCATGATAACATGTTTTATCATGCGCACTATCTATGGAATGATAAATTCATATATGTATCTATATCCTAATAACTACACATATCCAGTCTATATGAGACACCTACTGGGCCGTTGTGATTTTGGATGACAAGTGAAGAGTTTCTCCGGCCTCCAAGGAATCCATCAAAGATCTGAACAGTGGATAATGTTGTATCAGACAGAAAGCGCAGCAGTCGGGACTCAGGAATAAACTCCAGTGACTGGACGCCGAAGTAAGAAAACTTCAGAGCGTACATTATACCAGCTGTTAACTGGAAGGAAAAAACAAGGGACCAAATGGGGTTTTAATTACAAATTAACAGAAAAAGTGACTTTTCAACCCCTTTATGAAGGAAATGATACATGTATATCAAAAGCTTTATCATTTATTTATAATCTTGTGAAAATCTGGCTCTTTCATCAGAAATCAATAGCTTGATAACAAAAATATTACTTTTACAAGAACATTATCATATATACATAAAACACAAGTACATAGTCCTACACTGTAACAATATGTACTAAGTTCTAGTTGCTTTCAAATGCAATTTATAGGTGATTATGGAAAATTGATTTTAAATTTGTTAAAAAAATAATTAAACCTCCTAGTAAGACTACTACATAGTGTACAGAGAAATTTTTCACAGTCAAATATTTCAACCTTTGACAGTAAAACTCATTTTTCGCCCAATATTAACTTCGCTCTTCACATTTAATTGTGTGTATCATATTATTTACAAATTTCTGTGTAATGATAACATGCGCTCATTACGGAGGGCGAAAACTAAACTGCAGCAAAAATATCCTGGTATATAACAGCAACTTATTATGGAATCATTTTATTATATCATTTCTATAAAAATACAAAAGTCAATTACCAATGCATTTGCACATGCTAGAAGAATGAGGAAAGTCATGACACAATATAGGAAGTATCTCTTCCTGCCACGGATGCCAGTCTTGTGGAGATAGGGCTCATTGATGTTGATGTAGCCAGCCCTAAAGTTACTGTTGTGTTCCCGGTTAATTCTCCTCTTCAGTGTTGACTTCTCTCTCATGGACATATTAGATGCATCTCCTCTCTGTTCAAAAGGGAAAAAAATCTGTACTGTTCTTAAGCTTAACTTCTGCATGGTTAATCAGTCAGTATCTTCAAATCAGAATCGGGACACGAGCATTCTATTTTTTTATCTTGACCATTGCGGCCTGTGTACAAAACATATACACAGTCTTTCTCTTCGCTAAGTCAATCCCCAAGTTTGTACTGTATAGGGTCTGGGTTTCTAATATTGCGTCGAGTATTAATACAGTAATACTTGTAATAGCTATATAGGTCTCTAAGAGTACAATTGTTAGCTTCCTGAAAAGAAATGCTTATGAGCGGGCGGACAGACATCCCATGTGATTGCTAGGTAGTTACCAAGAATGAAAAATTAAGTTATTTGAGAAGATAAGTATTGGTAAATATTTCACAAACACTTTTTTTTATGACGCCAATTGGCCATATTAATTTTAAGCACTTTATTTTGCATCGATACAAAACCACAGAAGCCTGAAATTCTGTCAAAAATTAATATTAACAGTAAAACAAAAAAAATGCCTATACTATGCTTAAATATTTTTTTTTTGTATTACAGAGCCGTTAAGGAAACAAACGATGTTTTCGTGGTGAAGGAAAACCAAAGGGGGGAGGGGGGCAGGGGATCTGACTCTGCTTTCAGGCAAGCCTTGACAAAGCCTTGCAAGGTCTGCATAAACATTTGCAGGTCCGCAAGGATTTATACCCGAAAATGTTACATTTAAAGATGGACAAACCGGTTGTCCCGCATAAACGAACAGGCCCCTGTTATTATTAATTTTGACAGAATTTCAGGCTCCTGTGACAAAACAAAGTACGAGTTATCTCCCTCTTATTAGTCTGAAGTAAACCTCGCATAGTACACCGATAGTAATCGGATAAGTTTATATAATATATAAAATGTTTAGTTATTGAATCCAAGGCAACAATTATTTCAATTAACTTTACAAGGTCAAATTTTCAATCAATTGATTTGGAATTCTATAATTTAACTATAATTATAATGTAGGCCTACTGAACAGTACCGATAAATGTTCTGAAGCGAACTTTTGAAGACCTTTTCCTATTAGTTCTGAAGACATTGTGACACTTGCATGCTACAGAATAGTTGCAATTTCGTCTGTTATAATATAAAAGCTTGCTTTAAAATCAAAATAAGTTTGCGATTCCTTGAGAGCTGTAAAAAGGCCACTTTAAAACTTCTGAAAGTTTATGTACCCACCTCGTAAGGATCCATCTTGAATTTTACGGAATATCGGTACAGAAACGAAACGAAACGCTTTGGAGCTGAGAAACTTTTTAAAACCAAAGGGAAACAACCCGTGAATAGCGTGTAAAAAAATCTAAGAATTATTTTTTTAACTTCTTTTTTTTTTCCAACTTACCTTGACTATTTGCTGTTTAGCACTTTTCATTAACTCCGACTTAAAGGAGTGAAAAGTTACATGTTTTTTTTCAGAGACGTACCTGGTTGTAGCTAGACTAGCCATTTTTAGATAAACCACGGAATTAGATGCTTTCTAAGTTCTTGGATAAACAGAATAAAATGTGTCACAAAACATAACCAATCGTTGAAAATGCAATTCTGAGTAATCTCGAACATGTGTAAATTTATCACAAACCTTGAACATCCACTGCAAGTTCCTCTATACACATTACCATAAATAAATGCGTTCACAGGGCTATTTAGGCTGAAAATGGACAGTGTGAACAATAAATAATCATAATAATGGATTCTCGTTGTCTTTGATAATAATATTACTAGTTAGCTAAAAAGAGTTCTAAAAAATCGTGAACTATCGACACTATGGCACCGTCTTGCCAGCTATCTTGTTCCCTTTCTTGAAATTTATAAAACACTATGTTTTTTTTTAACAGGGGTCGTTAACATACGAAAATTTGTGAAAAATGCATGATTTATGTGACTTATTTTGTAGTATCTATATCCGTGATAACTTTTTAAATGTGTTCATTCCCCCTTAAATGGACCGCGGTGTAAGATGTCAAAACTCGTTCTCATTCGATAAGTTATAAATCAGTGAAGTTAGCATGCCCCTAAAATGGGGCTACACTTTCAGGTCCAGATTGGAAAACGACAGAATAACAAATGTCCGTCAATTGTGAATCTAGAGTTGAGTCCCGAGACTTCAGGAAAAAACCCAGCAAGATATTCATCTTTAAAAATCATGTTTTCCCGCTATATTTTCCTATTGTCCAATTTAGATGACCGTTTATGTACCTTATTCCCCCATAATATTCTTACACGACTACCGTAGCGGTAATTAGGAAGCGTTATTGACGTGATGTTGCTGGCATGTCTCGTGTCTAAGGTACAGTAATCTGATTAAACTAACATGTTCCTATATCTTACTAGCGTATATGAAACATCCACATCTCTTATCATAATGCATGGTTGTATGTGAAAATCCTCACTCGGGATTAAAAACCACATATATATAGATCTACCCTAACTTTACTGTCATCCTTCGTCTCATTTCTCACAGCGTGTTTGAACATCGCTGCTAAGCATAATCGATTTAAACTTCCATTTTGAAGAGCAGAATTCCGATCTCGCCGCGTGAGTTGAAAGTTTCGTCTTATGACTTAAACGGGGGAGTGGGGTGTATAAAACATATATTAACCAAACGAAATGAAACTTAAAAATTAAATCGGTCTTTTATCCAACAAGTTCTTATACAACACATTTGTCTTGTGTGTCATGTTCCTGAATAATTTAATTTAAATTCAATATTTTTCAATATTAAGATTCCCCTATTGGACATGAATAGGTATGGCCGAACACGAGGGTTTTTCTTCGGGTACCCCGGTTTCCTCCCACATCCAGACCCCAACCCCCACCCCGCTAACATGAGCAAATATAAGTTGAAATAACCTGTTTCATAACTGTTGTAAAAAATATCATATGTTAGTTAAAACATTCGTTTATAAAATATAGCAAGAATTAAATCACATGTGAACAGACACAATTAAAATTCAATCATGATAGTTAATCAATTACACGAATGTGAGTACTGAAGATTAAAGCAGAGATTTGTTTGTTTTGTGCTAATTCAGAAGTTGATGAATTATTTAATCGAGAAGGCAAACACTGGACCGATTATGTTCCATATTTGTCATTGTTTACCAACAAAGCTGACTCATACGAATCAATATCCAGCATCCACGCTTCTTTTGGCGCGCTTCCATTGGTCGTCTGCGCGTTAGGCTATCCCACGCTATTTTAACCAGGTTATCGATCCGTTACTCATGCTATTTCTGGAGGATTCCCTTTCCACGAGAAAAAAACATCAACAATGCAACAATTAGTCATTGTGATACGACTCAGGTTCACCAATTTCGCAATCATGTATGAGCCATCTATAGACTCGTACATAACCTATAAATATAAGCACTGAATGTTTCCTCGCTTCAGATTCATGATTTCACACAAGGATGTCAGTAACTTACATATCAGTAATCTTCCAACAATATTACGTATTTCAAAGTAGTGTATTGAAATTTAAGTTTTGAAAATAGTTTTTGCAATTGCAGTTTTATTTAAAACCTTTTTAAGTGTATCTTTTTTCATGAATGAAAATAATTAACCACGGAATTAGATTAAGTCTGCTCTTTTAGTGGAAATATTTCTTACTAATTACAAGAAAAAAAGATAACTACGAATCATTTTACAAGAAAGAAGAAAACAACGAATCATTGTGCCGGTGGATTTATATACATGTAAGTAATTTGTGAATATAACAATACTTTCCAATTCGGGCGAAAATACTTCAAACACCATCAAGGCATATATTATAACATTTTACTCTCATTTTCAGTTCAGAAAGAACGACCTCGTGCTGGTTCTCTGAATAGCTCCCTACCGATCCCCTTTCTGGCCCCACTGTGAGCCGGGATATTGGCGCACTCCCCCATTCCCTTGTCACCCTCCGCGCGGCCCGCTGACTGAAAAATTAAATACAAAACCCTCTGGCTCGCCTGTACTGGAGTCAGAGCGCTAACTAACGTGACTCGGAGAACACAGAGCCAGGCTGTGTGTACTACGGGAGTTTTTACGCATGGATGGCTAAATATACGTGCTACTTTACACACGGGAGAGTTTGGAATTTCTTGACGGCGAAAATGGAATAATTATTACAAAGGAAATTGTAATATTTTGTAAAAAGATACGCCGTATTTTTAACAAAATAAAAATGTCCAGTGTGATTTTACTTGGGTACGAGTTTAATTGGTACCAGTTGATATAGTATTTCAGTGCTTTGTAGTAATATAAGAAGTGTGAGTATTTTCCGAGATCAGGATTCATCATGAATATTGGAAAGGAACAAAATAACGTGGATGACAACCGGAACCACTTTAACCATGTCGGAGTATTCATGCCGGAGTCGGATTCCGGGGACGATTCCGAGCCCACCTACCGGGCCTACAGCGATAACGTGGATACGGATGTGAGTAACACACAGGACGAGGGGGACGCGCCCTCACCCCCCGCCCCACGGGCAGATAGGAGGGTACCTGTAGTGCCCCTCAATAACCTCAACGTGTTGACCAGCAGTGATTCGGACAGTTGCACAGACGCCGAGTTTCTCGGTGGTCAAACGACTGACGACACTAGCAGTACGTCGGAGTCCGAGGAAACTCAAATGTAAGTATAACCGTTACCTTTAACGTTTTCTTGCTGACAAATATCACCATTTTACAAGTTGATATTACAGAAAGTATTTGGATACAAAAACAGATGGATTTGACATGTATATATGTGGCTGACAATGGACACTGTCCGTTTATGTTTGACCGTTGGACAGCTTGTATGGACGGTTCAAATATTTGATGGACGACACATTGACCACAGAAATACAAAAGACGTTCCTTAAACATTTATTACATTTCTTTTTCAAACTAGATCGTGAAATGGACCTATGGTCAATTCCGATCTTTGAAAGAATATCCAATTTAAATCTGACACAGAGTCACCATGGCCATGTGTTCAGAAGGGGACGGTTTATTGTGGCCCATAAATGAGTTTAACCCAATAAGTCACGGTCTGACTGAACTTTCCTGTTCGGTTTAAGAAGTTAACGCGTGTTGTCTATGAACGACCAGAAATAGCACCTAAAATACAAAGCGCCGGTAATGTAGCAACACGCGCGAAAGTATAAAACTCATAACATGACATCATACCCACGCACGCTGCCGATCCAAGATGCTGTCACATCTGGCACCGAGCACGCTCTATTAGTCAATTATATTAAATTCCATCGTTATCCTGTCAATAGCACGCATCTGTGTAATACATACATTATTAATAGTCTTTATAAAACCAGAGGTATACAACATGTAAATGTACGGAAGATCCACGACTGGTGTCAACCATTCTAGTACTGGGAATTCACACTGTGTTACACCTAATGGCCATATTTCTGACAGCTTGTCCTCGATTTACTTCCTATTAACCTTTGTCTACCATAGGCTTCTACGGGGAGACCAACGGCTTTTAACAATTCTTTAATATAACCCAGGAACTAAATACGATTTTTGACCATGAACATCTTCCATACTGAATATTTTCATATTTTAATCGACAAAATAAAGCATAAATATCAAATTTCAAGGCGTATGTGTTGAATGCAAGCTAACCATACCGCGCTGATAAAAATCACTATCCTTTAACAAATAGTAAACAATGGTTTTACTAGCCCAGTCGACCTTCGACAGATAGCGACACCGCAGCACAAAAGGGCAGTTAGACCCTTTTAGGGGCCATCCGGATAATTGAAAAGAATTATGTGAAAGCTAGAACCTTTTAGGGTTCATCTAGATAAGCCCGGAAGAAGTTTATTTGGAAAATTTAACAGCCCTGCTCGTGTCATAATGTTTGATTTGTGTCGGTCGCTATAATAGGTTTAGTTCTTCCCTGGCCTCGAGCAAAGCCGAGCTGATCGTCAGTCATGATGATGCCTTGATCACTTTCACTCCTTCCTGTAATAGAGAGTACTTCGTCGTTGAACGATAATCATGGCACTGTATAGAACAATATATTTTCCCTCGTTTCTTTGATTACAGAGTTATAGATGAAAATAAATACGAATTTACGAAGATTTCAAAGCAAGCTTTCTCATTCGTAAAACACCTTATACAAAGGCGTGTACTATCAGTGGTTTAATTCAAGGGAAAAGTTTCTGTTGTACAATAGGCCATTGACTATGGATCTCCACTTAATTCATACAGTTTGGCTTAGCTTTGGGTTAACTCGAGGTTCCAGAGTCATCAGTGCTCGACTTAGACATGGTAACACATGTGATAACACGTGTCTTATAGGAGTTGGATACAGCACCATCATCCCTTCTGTTTCCTGATGTCATTAAACAGTCATTAGCCGATTTCTGGACTAGCACCATCTTTAGTCGTCTCCCACTCTGACTGTACAGTGACGGGATAATAGCCTAGAATGTAAAGCCCAGTAATCCGAAATACAATGTTTCCTATGATAAATTACTATCCAACGTATAAAACAAACATTAACCTTCAATTAACCTCAACAGTAATCTTAACTTACCCTAACGTCAGCCAATTAATGTTAAGCTCAACTTAACTCATGTAACATTAACCTTAACCCGTAACTAATTAATCGAATCTCATCTAACATTAACCTGCACTAAACCTTAACCTCGATTAACCTTAACCTAGAAAGCATAAACCTAGTAAACCTTCACCTGGTAAACCTTCACTAAGTAAACCCTAACCCTGAAAACCTTAACCTAGTAACCCTTAACCTAGAAAGCATTAACTTAGTAAACCTTATCCTAATAAATCTTAACCTAGTGAAACTTAACAGAATCCTTCACATAACCAAATCAACTTAACCACGACTAATCTTAACGCCCGATCAAACCTAACCCAAACCTTTACTAATATGAACTAACTATATTTAACCGTAACCTCAGCTCTAACCCCTGACTTTTTAGTGCATTGTTTTGACGAATTCTTCTCGTAACGATAAGGTTAAGGTTAGACGAGATTATGGTTAGTAATGGTTAATGTTAGTGAGGTTAGTAAGGTTCGGGTAAGTGTAAGATACCATGGGTTAAATAAACACATCAATTTACCATACATTGAATTTCAGACAAGCGAGCCTGAAGGATATCAGAACTGGGTAATATAAGGCGGACACCCTAAGATTCGACTATCATGTACTCTCCTATCTCACAATATCCACTAGGGCTTAGAAATAGGAAGTGCAATGACATGAACGTTTGGAAATCTTCAATCAACGTTTTAGTCAAATTGCTTGTGCATTATAGACCGCATTATAGGGATAAAACATAGCAATTGTGTCAAATATCATTTGTTCCTGAGCGATCAACAGTACAGATAATCGCTTTAGAAACTAGAGCAGCGCTGAGTTGATCCTTGGGGTGCTGGAGTTTTATTTTAATCACGAAGCTGACAGATTTATAAGGAGGAATTGATGTTTATGATCACTCCCCAACACGACGCCCTATTTTATCTATACAGAGCGATACAGTGTCCAGGTACAAGCTCTACAGGTCCCGATATCGGCCACGTGTGTGACTTATGTCTTCAGTAAGTCATCGATAAGGCTTGCTTCACCCAAACGATGTATACCATCCCGTAGATTCGGAAAAGTCAATGCTTGAGATATTAACAAATTCTATTCAGTTCAATGTTGATCGCCCTCTTGTAATTACAAATTAATTTGAAGATTGAAGATATTTGTTGTTACATTAAAAAAAGAGTGTAATAGCATTTCAACACATGCTTTTTCATCCTTGGATTCAATTGTTGACACAAACTTCAGAAATTGATTTATTGACAAATAAGGATTTGCATATAGTGGGTTTGCGTTAGATAAAAATCCTGGTACAAAGTGTACGTCCATGTAAACACGCGCTTTCGGTCACTGTTAACCGAGACCGTCAAAATACATAACGCACTTAATTCTGACGAAAAAAACTAGCGTATGTTTTTAATTATACTGCTTTATAGCACAAGGGGCGGTAATGGTAGCAGCAGGACCCGGGCTGGTTTCTCTCTCTTCTCCTTCCAGCTCAGGAGTAAAACCCGACATGTATACTACACTATTGAGCGCCTCCTCACGACTTTCACAATTGCAGAAAATCGGCAAAGTGCGAAACGCCAGATTATCAACGGGTCTAGTCAGTTCTCGAATGCGTTTTTTTTTTTCAAAAGTAGGAAAGCAACATGGCGCAACAAAGACGGAAGAAAGATTTCACGGGTCGTTCCACATGTTAATGATATAACTGCTGTGTACGGATATGTGTAACGACGGTTACAGCATACTGTAATGATGATGTTACGTCTGGTCGTGTGTTAGTATACAGTTTGGTAAATACCGAGAACATTTATCTTAATTAATTATGTTCATACAACCGCGCCTTAATATCGGCCGTAAAGAACTGACAGAGGGATGTTGTTTCTTGTTTCTTTTATGAACTAGATGGAATTCAGATTTAAATTAAAAAATGCGGTATATCTGTAAACTTAGTTTTAAAATCATATGTGCTTGGGGTGAAGTTTTGCGATACCTTCACTTGTCTGTTGTTTCGAATTGCTGTGTATGTCTCTAAATGTGATTTGAGAGTCATGACGTGTTGCTATAATGTGACCTAGTTTCAGTGAGGCACAGTGACATTTAAATTGATTCTTTTCATTTCTGTTGATGAAAAAATAACACAATTTGAAAAATGGCTTTAAGGAAATGTAAATTAAACACGGGGCCTTTTAATGTTAAAATGCAAGCAACTCCGGTGAGATTAATTTCCATTGAAATTGCATACACACAGAAACAGATGTTACATGTAGAAATAAAATTATCATTTTCGTTATTCACCGATAATGAAACATTATGAAACACTTTAACTTTGGAAATCAATATTACAACAGCCCTGTATATAATATTATATAACATTAACTGGGATACGGAAGCTCAGAGGGACACTTCTCTGCCTTTGATTAACAGTTCTACAATATCCGTAATCGATACATCAGCCTATTATATACGATTACTACAGAGATCTAGAAGCCATGGGCCAAACTGACGGACGAATGATTTCTGTCCGCTCGCAGCTTATACGATATATCTTTTCAGTGACATCAACCTTTTGTGTAAAGTCAAGACATTTTTCACACGAAGGTGTAAATATCATGTTTCCGTGACCCCGTAGCCCCCAGGATGAAATAGTTGACCACACATAGAGTACCTTGTGACCCCGTAGTCACTGGGTTATAGTGACCCCGGACTTAACTTGAGTTCATTAAAATAGGGACAGTGTACCGATCTTGACCTTTGACACCGTGTCGGTTGGTCATGCTATTATGATGATGTGTCTGTCATTCAGCAGTGGAACTATTGTATCTTTTATATTATAAAAAGTCCGGTCTATGTCCTCCAGTATTGAACGTCTGCATATGTAAGGTCAGAGCTGTCTTTCATTCTTTCCTATGATTCTTTCCTTCACCAAAGAAATATTAAAGGATCTCCAATATTGCGTGACACGTACTGCTAGTAAAGCCTATTGTCAAAGAGGATTTTGAAAAGTCGGTAAAACATGAATATCAAATCTTGCAAGAATTTCTCAAACTAGTAAGTTCTCGATCAAATGA